CAGATCCACGGTGAGCTTGCCAGCAGGCGATGCGTCCAGAACAATGCACCGACGAATGCAATAATTGGGTTTTGTACTCTGCCTCAGGAGGGTGGCGAGCTCTGGTGCCTCACATGATACAGCAGCGGAATGTGGAAGCATATCGGGTTTCGCCTCCTCTCCCTCGAGTCAAAACGGAGGGACTCGGTGGTTTTCCGCGGGTTTTCCCACTGCAACTGTCGTTGCTGGCAGGTCCTTTCCTCAAGGTTGTCGGAGCCCCTCTTGACTTGCTGAGGGTTTCTAGAATTACAGCTGATGTTCCTGCTTGCTGCGAAGTTCACCGATGAGCAGGGTTTTGGGGTACAATCTACTTGATCTACACAACAGAACCCTGAAGAATGCTAGTTACTATCTACAATTCTTCGGACCCCAATAAATTTCAAATCCCTCATAAAAAAAATCTGTGAAGTCCTCATAAACCAAAGTGGACACGTGTTAGGTACCTATGTAAATACGTACCCCAAGCTATTCCGACCCGCATGTTTCTCGGCTTGCCTCCCGCTCAGGGCCATTTGCGAGCAGGCTGCGGCGATGCGCTACAGCAGACTAAATGTCAGGCAGGGTTTCAGGGCTCAGGATATAGGGTCTCATCATCGTGTGTCATGTCCAGGGCAGCTCGTCTCTGCCGAAGTTGTGAACCCATCCTGCATTCCGATTCTGTGTTCTCGTCCTCGCTTGCTGCTTGCAAGAAGATCCGCTGCGTCTTTGTCATGATTCAATCGCAAGTATCAGAGATGATCAGGCATAATATTAAACCAGACTAGTGACTAGTAGGATCCTGCTTAGCACCACAACCTCCATGTGGTCATCTTCAACATGCCTGACCGAAGGCTTGAGCGAAAAAGTTGCAAGCTGTCAAGTCAACGGGGGCGTGACACTTCCCTCGTGAAAAGCGAATGGGTGCACCACATGAAATTCAGGCTCCCAGTAGGACACCCTTCAAGAAGTCTAAGAAACAACAGCAACAACAGCGCTTGACGACCGCAGGCCGCGTGCAGCTCTTTATATCAGAGGTTTGGCTATGGTTTGCGATTCCAGCGTTCAGGGGGTTTCGGGGCTGAGGAAGGCTACGCTCTGGATTCTCTAAACCCTAAACCCTGAATCCCAAACTGTGGACCTTGGTAGTTCATGCGCAAGGCGGACTTGTGGATCTGCCTTTCTAGCGTTCGACACGAAAGCAAACCGCAAGGTTGTGCTTTTTAGGGGGGACTTTGGGCTACGCACCTCCAAGCACTTGACTCCATAAACTCAGCCCTTCAGAAACGAAGGAGCTAGAGACCCACGAAAGGGGAGTTGCAGCCACACGTTCCGCCCTGATGCAAACCATCCGACACTCCGACACCGTAGCTCATGCGAGACGACTCCGATATACATACTCACCAAATTCCCAAATTGAACTCGTATGAATTCAACACCCTTCCCTACTCCTACGAAGCTGATATGCACTCACCAGGGTCCGAACATAAAACCTGCCTCAGTCATTTCGAGCACCCTACTTAGCAGAAATCCCGCTTTCTGCCCTACTTGTATCCTAGTCACTAAGCCCGCTCCTCCTTCACGTTTTGTCGAAAAAGCAAAAGAGGACACTGTTCGAGAACCTCAAAGCCACTTAAAGCTTTAAGGCCTTTGGGCTCCGGGCTGTTCATCGAATCTCTAAGGGCTTTAGAGGTTTTGCAAAAGGTTCGCATCGGTGATGTTACGGTTCCTAAGGCTTCGGAAGCAAAGGCTTCTTGGGTTCAGCAACCAGGCCAGGGATTGTGTTGCGCTGAGATAGAGTCTGGCTTCTTGGTGCTTATCATGCATCTAAGGGCATCTAAGGGCCAGTAATATGTGTGTGCATATATATATATATATATTGTATGTATGTGTGTGTATATATATATATAAGGTCCTAAGAACGTCTATTTTTTGCTGTGCTATATCATAACTTCTTGGATCTGGGTTTAGGGTTGCCCGGGACTTCACGTCGGAAAGGCCTTTTAGGCCTAAATCCGACGGGAGACTTCCGCATCAGGGCCGTGCCGCACTCTGAAGTACAGCTTGGGAAGCTCGCAAAAATGGTGGCATGGCGGCTTAGGGTTTAGGATTGAGGGGGGGTCAGGGTTTGGGATTTAGGGTACATGAGACTTTAGGGGACATGTGGGATTCGGGGCGTGATGCCCAAGTCGTATAGGGGCCCAAACCATGACAATACCTTATACTGTGCATGCCTCGGGATTCGGAAAACGCTGCCATAGTTCTTCAGTCACAGTAGTCGGATTCTGCGGCTCTGACTCAAACGAAGCCTCCGATTTTCGAGGAACTTCCCGTTCGAGTGTCGTGCGGCAGCTGCGCCCCAAGCGCTAGAACCGGAAACCCTAAGGAGCGCAGGTAGGGTTGAGGAGTTGGGGGTTAAGAGCCTTAAGGTCTGGGGTTATTGCTGCTACTAACTCTTTGGGCCCCCTTGCATAAGAGCTATTTTCCAAGTGCCTTCCAGGGCTTGCTTTCTTTCCGTTTAGAGCTGAAGGTTTGAGGGTGTGTTCTCCTCAGGCCCTTTCACAACGGGCTTTAGGCTTGGAGGTTTCGTGTAGGAGGTAAAGGGCCCAAACTCAGAGGATAGGGCTTGGGGTTTAAGGGCTCAGGGTTTGGAAATCCGGGTCCCTAAACCCTAAACCCCAAGAGTGTGCGGTTTAGGGCTTAGGGCCGGCTACGCGGTTTTGACCTCAAAGACCTGGATGCTGTCGATCCGGCCGCGGCAAATGGGGCAAGTGTCTCCTGGCCGTCGCATCCATGCAGGGATGTTATGACGTCCTGGGGCCTGCTGTCAGAGGTCCTTTGGATTTGGTGCTTCTACTGAAGAACCAAATGTGATTCCTCAGACTCTTTCGAGGAAAAAATGTGGTTTGGGGTTTGGACTTGAACGGAGGGGGGGGGGTCGAATGTAGGACAAAGGCCCAAAAAAAGAAGAACAGGGTTGGTGGCTAGGTTCTTGCTGCTTTTTACTTTTGCAGGGGGTGAAAAACCGAAATACGAAGTCATGGCACTCGAATAGCAGGCTTGAAAGCTCCCACTCCCTGCATACCCCTAAGGAACCAACCATGCAGCTATTAAGTTGAAGGAAAAGAAGCACAGGTCCGTCAGCTGTCCTTGCACCTGAGCACCGATGGAAAGCTGCTGTGCGCACTCCTCCCCATCTCGGAAGCTTTCAACATTGTCAACTGCATGAAATATGGGTTTCTGAGTTAGGCCCTAGGGTTGTGGGTCTAGGGCTTAATTAAGTAAGATGAAGATTTTCACGGGGTTACACAAGATGTTGATCGTTCCATCAGTTTTAGTAGAGTGCAATGCGTCGCCATCGTTAGAACACTTTGCGAGGCATGGTATGCGGTAACTAGACCGGGATACAAGTAATTATCATTAAACATTTTGCACTCCCCATTAATTCAAAAAGCAACCCGCACCTATAGAATGACAGCCTTACAAAAGCTTGCATGACTCTGCCATGATCTGAATCTCCCATCTTAAACCAGTAATCCAACTACAAACGATGCTATCCAAAACCGCTTGAAAGAGATCGTACAAGCAAGGCCCATCTGAACCCCGAACCCTAAGACCGCAAAACGGACCCCTCCCAGAGCCCCCCTCTTAGACGCCTCAGGCCCTCTAAACCCTTAAGGCCGATACCCGAAACCCTCAAGCCTTAAACCCCCAAACCCTGAACCCCTAACCCCTAAACCCCCTCAGTTCGTCCTGGCAAAGGCAGAGGTGCCGGCAGGGCAAGATGGCGGTGGTGCGTGGGTCTGTGAGGCAGATCACACCTCGTGCTGTCTTTAGGCTTTAAAGCTTGAGCGCCGCCAGGGCGTACCATACTGCAAAGCTTAGGGCTGTAGAGCTTTGGGATTTTTGGGTTTAGGCTTTGGGGATTAGGGGGCCTAGGGCGTCAGGGCTTAGGGCTTTTGGGGTTTAGTGTGTTAGGGTTTTAGGGTTGCTGTTGCAAGGGTTACTAGAAAGGCTTATAAGTTTTCAGGGGTGACTTTGAGAGTGGTTTTGATGTTTTCAACTGCGACCCTTCTCGACTGTAAGATTGCCTCTCAGCTACCCGCCACCCTCTTAAACCTATATATTATTGTTACTGTAAATACACCCATTAAGTCCCTAAACCGCCCTTTGCAAGATGCTCTGACCCCGGAAGGGAGCCTCGGGTCAAGGACTTCAGGGCTTTGGGGGTTTGGGGCTCAAGCTTTCTGACGTGCCACCAAGCCAAGACCCCTATATTCACAAGGGATGTCGCCCATCAGGTCCCAACCGGCTGCTTTCAGGATTGCAAGCTACGGCCATAGCCACATGATCGTAACCCTGAACCCTGAACCCTTTTTTTTGTAGGCAACTTCAGCCAGGGCACAGGGCTCGCCCTGGGAGCTCTCGTCATGCCGGGAGTCGTCCTCTGACAGTTGCTTCTTGATTTTGGTGCCTTGGGGCCTTGGGGGCGCTGCTTCAACTGCGGGGAGGGCTTTGGGTTTCTGGGGGGGGGGGCTCAGAAGTCCAAAGGTTTCTGGCTTCGGGATGTCGCGGTTTTAGGATGCTGTGGGTGTTTATAGGGCCTTATAGGTTCTCAAGCTCCATGGACGTCAAAGTCTTCTGCGCACTTTTCCCTGAGCCCCCTTCCCGCGCCAGGCCTTGCCCAGGTCGGCGAGGCCATAAATCTCTTGAAGGAGATACTCCTCCCGAGGAGAGCTTAGTGGTTTAGGGCCTTTAGGGTTCAGGGTTTAGGGTATATAGGGTGTCTACTAATTGCAAGGGATCTCTGTCTCTGGCTCAGGAATCACAAGCATCGTGGAAAGGTCATGCGCAGTGAGAGGTGCAGCAGGCCTGTGGAATGGGACTTTTTGCTGTCACGTTGAGAGTCGAGATGCAAAGTCTGCTAAATCACAAGAAGCACAAGACTACGTTGCACGAGAGAGGTTGCAATTCCGGGCTCACATTCAGCGCTCGTGGACTCTCCACAAAGGGGCATGCATGTGGCAATAGTAGAAGAGTGCCTGGGCCGGACGGATCTTACCCGATCTTTGGCAGGGTAGACCTGCCTTCGTGTTTGCATGGCAGCCGCCGCCGCAGCGGTGGGGCGTTCGTTTTGGGGTGGTCCTTGCTGGGGTCCGGCTGCGTGTAGAATTCGCCTTGGCTGCCTTTCCAACACTCTTGTTACTCGGACTCCTCATCTCCCGCGGCAGCTTCGAGCCAGTGGAGGGCACTGGGGACCTTGGTGCGCTGCGTCGGGGCGGCGTGGAGGGCGGGGAGTCGCTGCGCTTGGCTCCGGGCAGAGCGCAAAGCAGGGACCTGGCATGGGAGCGGGAGCGGGCGGGAGATCGAGTTTGGGAGCGCGCGGGACGGCGCGGGGTCGCGCGCGACGGGGTCTGCTTCTGACGTGTCACCGAGGCAGAGCGTCCACGACGGAGGATGGGCTTTGGAGGCTGACCCGAGCCCGGAGAGTGTTGCGACACCAGCTCGGTGGCGCTGGAGCCCGGCGAGGCCGTTTGGAGGCGTGCCGCTGCCAGGCGGCATGCCATTGCGTGAGGCGACCCCTGAGGACTCAAGCACATCTTCTTACATTCTCTTGCAAGCTGCTCTGGACGGAGGGTGAGGAGGGAATGGACCATCGCGCCCCCTCGGGCTGCAACGCTGCTTCGTGAGCGCAAAACCTGTGGGCTGGGCCTGGGAAGGGACTGCGAAGGGACTGGCGTGGATGGACCACCGGGTCTGGGAAGGGACCTGGCTGGATCCAGACTCTTGCCACGGATGCGCCGTGCGGGTGTGCTTGTGCAGGCTGCTGGCGCGGGACTTTTGCTTCGGATTCGATGGCGCGGCGTGGAAAAACACCTGGCTGGCGCTGGCGAGAGGGGTACGGGCCTGGCCTGCATGGTCGGCGGCACGGAGAGCCCGCGAACTGGCCGCGGTCTGCCTCCGGAGCCCGTCTTCTCAGACGTCGTGTCCCTCTGCTGCCGCTGCTCTCGGAGCCGGTACAACAAGTCGTTGCAACTGCCCGAACTGGGAAGGCCCTGGCGGTCACAGGCAGCCTGAAGCTCACTCTTGTGGACGGCATTGAAAGGTGCAAAGGTCGGGCTCCCAGTCCCAGACCTAACCGATTCCCTGTCTTCAAACTTCTTGGTCATGCTCTGGATCAGCAATCGGGAAATCAGCTGCGTCCGGAGCCCCGTGGAGGAGAGCCCTCGCTCGATGCAGAGCTTCCTGAGCGACTCCGGGTGCATGATTCCCAGGTCGGCCGCCTCACTCGCCTGGGCTGTTCCGTCGAGCACCCTAAGCTTCTACATAGCCCTTGTGTTCCCTCTGAGTCTGAAGACTATAGACTATCGATTACGAAAACCAGTACAACAAAAAACAAGGCGTGCTTAAGACAGGCCTGATCGCGACATGGCTTGCATCTGAAAGTTGAAGCCTCCTTGGGCTCACTGAAACGGAGCGCCTCGGAGTGCGACTTCGTCCTGGCGACGGCAACTCCCTTTTGGGAGGCTGATCCCAACGCTGTTCCGTGGCGTTGTCACTCGTTGCCTTTGGCATTGCCTGCGTGGCCTGCAGTAGAGCAGCAATTCCTTCATGCACGATCCTGTCGGAGTTGTCGCTGCGCATATTCTCTGCAGCAGGCAAAGGGCTTCGCTTGCGCTTGGCTGCATCTTTCTCCCCGCGTGCCGCGGGTGATGGGCTGCGCCGGGAAGCTGGCATCGGAGTCTCGTTACCAGAAGCTCTTTTGGCGCCTGGCTTTTGCTGTGGCTTCGGCTGGCCACTTTGCCCTGTGCTGCCCAGCTGCGACGGCGCAGGTGCTGGTGATTTGGTTTTCGAGTTCTCCTCAGCAGCGCCCTGCCACTTGGACAGTGGAGATCGGCTGCGTGCGCGAGGAGCCCTTTCTGAATTCACAGCAACCTTCTCTGCCAAACGCTGCATTGCAGGGGAGGGGCTCCTTCTTGCAAGTGCGGCACTCGCAGCTTCCGCCAGGCAACTGAACTTCGTGGGTGCTGTGGAGTCTCCCCTTGCCTCCGACCCTTGCTTTTGCTCTTCAGGTACAGGACTTCGCCGTGCTCGTCCTGCATCGGGCGCTGTGCCGGACGGATCAAGGCCTTGCTTGGACGTTGAAGGCGACGGGCTGCGTCGGTCAAGGGGAAGCGAGGAGCTGGGTGTCCTCAACTTCGCGCTGGATGCTGCTTTGGCGCTGGCAGCTTGCTTCTGCTGACTGTCTTGTGCATGATCGCTTCCCTTGCTCGGCGCTCGTGGAGTGGGGGCTTGCTGTGCCGTGTCGGCCGCACCTGACGCATTGGTAGCTTGAGTTGATGGCGACGGGCTGCGTCGTCGAGGTGGAGGCAGGGATGTGCTGGGTGTCCTCAACTTGCTGGTAGATTTCGGGTTGGTCTGCTTCTGCTTCTTCTGCGCGTCTTTCCCCTGCTTGCTCTCAGGGGTAGGCACTGGCGACCGCGCACCTTTGCTTGCAGGGGGCTTTGGATTCTCGGTGGTGCCTTGCTGTGCTGGCATCGGGTCCGGCATAGGGGGAGCAGCTCCTGCCTCATCTGCTTCCTCGCCTTGCTTCCGCATCGAAGGCGAGGGACTGCGTCGCCGAGGTGGGGGCAACGAGGTGCTGGATTTGGGGGTGGCCCTGGAGTCTTTCTTCTGCGGCTTGGCTTGCTGCGGCGTTTGCTTCGGATTTTTCTCACCAGCCTCGGCGGTCTTGAGAGACTCAGCTGGCGAGGTGGCACCTGCCTTGGCCGGGAGCTTTGCCTTCGTTGCTTGCTGTGCTGGCACTGGACTTCGGCTTCGTGCATTGCGAGCAGGCGCCGAGCTCTGCTGACCTTTTACTTGCTCTGCTTGCTCTGAAGCATCTTGTGAGGATGGGCTTGTCTGCGGCTGCGTGGCGGACTTCTGAAGGGATGCGCCCCTCACCGGGCTGGCAACGTTGGCAACCGGAGTCGTCGGAGGCTTTGGGCAGCCGGGAGCACTGCGACTGCGTCGGGCTGGGATCGTTGCCTCCATGGCCTTCTTGGCCGCAGCTGCGATGTTGGAGGCCGCCAGGCTCATGCTTCGGGTGACCCGCTTCGTGTAGGTCGCCTCCTGGCCCTGGCTCTTCGCTTTGCTCGCACTGCCCGCTGCCTTTCTCTCCTTGGCATCTTGCGGCTCCCGGAAACTCGGCGGCGTGTGGAGGAGCTTCTGAAGGCTCCCCACGAAGTCCTTTGAGGGCTCCTGCACGAACGAAGCCTCCGACGGCGTGATCTTCAACGCTTCCTCCAGGCTTCCGACTTCCCGGCTCATTCCGCCAGGCATGGAGCAAAGGATGCAGGCCGCCGCCATGTCCACGCTGAAGGTGATAGGCCAGCAGGGCTGGGAAGGCTGCGACTGCCCTGGCAGCAGAACCTCGACAACTGTTGGGGTGTAGGGGCCATGTCCACATTCAAGCTTCCTTCTCAATGGAGCCTCAGCCAAACAGCCAATTCCCCGTGAAGCCTCGCAAAAGCCCCCACAGAGCCCTACGCCGTAAAGGCCCAGAAGCTTCCGGAAGCTCCAGGCAGCCCCAGGGAAGCTCAAAGCTCTGTCCCGGACGCACCTCGATGGTCATGCTCATCCGGGTGAAGGTCACTTGTGCAGCAGGCGAGTGCCTGGGCTAACGACCCGATAGCCCCAGACTGAAGGTCCGAAGCTCATCATCATCACCACCATCACTCAAACCGGTAGCTTTCGAGTTGAACTATGGGCGATGCTGCTGCTTGCCGTACTATCCTTCACGATCCGTCATCGTCCTCAATCTGAAACTCATCCTCCATCATCAGCAGCATCATCATCTTCATTCCACTTGTCCTCAGTAACACCATGGTTATGGCTCTTCGCTGCCTTGACATTGAAATTACAGACCCTGCCAGGGACCAAAGAAGTATCGCGGAATGGTATATGGTTTAGGGTTTATGGCCGAGCGCTTTGGGCTTTCGGGCCATAAGTTAAAATACTGCCGCCTTGTGCAAGGGCTCCAAGTGTTGCGTCCTTGACGGGGTCTGGCTCGCTGTGCCGTACGCAAAGCCCGAAACTGACACGCCCGACCCAATGCCCAAAGCCTTCTCCAACCGAAGCCCTAAAGCCCGCCCCCGAAACCAAACCCTGAATCCCAGAAGCACCGTGCAAACACCCAAAACCCAACACCCAAAGCCCTCAATAAAGAACCCTAATATAACCCCTATATATAGTAACCCCTATATGTAGCTCTTAAGCGAATAAGATCCCCTAAAACCCGAAACACTGACCTCATAAGTACGAGTAAGATCCTGATTCTGGACCTTAAACGCCCAAAATCCCCCCAAAAAGGGCACCGCAAATACCTGGAATCCTGGCACAAGCGCCTTCATCTGATCTGTCTTCAGAGAGCCAAGTGACAGGTTTCCCCACTGCACCATGCAGGCTGCCGGACCCAGCAGACCGGGATTCACAGACCTCAGTTTGGGGACACGAGGGTCCTAATTCGGGTTTAAAGGATTTAGAGGGTTAGGGATGAGAGGTTTCGCTTTGGCAGGCTTCGGAGGTGTCGAGCTCAGGGTTTAGTAGCGCTTTAGGAGCTTGGCAATTCAAGGTTGAGTGATTTTACGCGTTCGGCTCTTGGGATTCAGGGAGGCTAGGGTGCCGCCCTTGGAAATCCAGAGGTTGCTTTCGGTGTTCCTGTCTTAGGCCTTTGGGCCTAAGGTTGGGAGGGAGGGTGCTTTGCAGAATACCAGAACCAGATTGGAGTGGCGTTCTATCTGTAAGAACACGGGTGCGGCTGATTTCAGGACCTGTCAAACCTGGAATCCTAAACCGTCTACACCCGAAAGCCTAGACCCTGCAGTGGTCAATAGTGTTTCTGCCTTATTCAACAACCGGCCCCAAAAAATTTTCTAATATAGACTAGATACATAAGGCCAAAAAGTTTAAAGTTCTACCGTTGGCTAAGTAAGGTTTTATTCTGAGCGGAAAATCGCGGGTGTCAGACCTTGGCGGGCTAAGACTCTCTGAATTCATCGCAATCCTCACGCCCACGAATGGGCCATAGAACAGTTCAACCAGGCCCTATAAATCATACCGCTACCTTTCCCTCAACCACAAAAGTTCCGAAGGTCTCCAAGCGGAGCCGAGGGTCCTTGAAAAGTCTTTGAGCAGAAGCCGCCGATTGTCGGCGAAGTCCTTTGCGGCGGTGGCCTGGAGGTTCTTGCAGACCTGCTTGCCAGCCACCTGAGGGTCGTGGGGCGCTCTTCCAAGAGGTCTTTGGAACTCGGATCCTACCACATAGGGATAGCTACATATGGAGTCCCCTTTCAGAAACTCCCATATTCGCCAAGGGCAACCCTTACCAAGACCCATCCATCACGCAAACCGCAGAAAAACCAGGACCTGTTGCCAAAAGTGGTCCGACGTTCCCACTCCCAACAAAGCAAACACACACACACACACACCGAATCCTTGCAAGCTAAACTCTGAAACCCCAAACCCTGAAACGGAAAATCTGAGCCCTGAAAGCAAATCCTAGATCCACCGCTGCATAGGGTCCTCTGAATGTCTATCCGGTCGGACCTTGCAGTGATTATCGTCAGATTCTGCATGCCCAACAAGGATAAAGCTTAAGTGCTGCACTACTGCTGCTACTACTACTACTACTGCTGCTGCTGCTGCTGCTGCTACTGCTACTACTACCACCACCACCACCACCACCAAAGCGAAACCTCCAAAGACCCTTAAAGCACCCCCCTAAGCCCTAAACCCGTCCGCATCTTCCTGGCTACTTTCACACACCTGCATGAGCTGCTGCACAACGTCCGGCACGGGCTTTGCCCCACGGCCTTGCCCCTGGCCGATCGACCAGTCTTCTGAGGCATGAGGTAGAGGGTTTGGAGTGTAGAATTGTTACACCCCCTACGAAAACGAGCGTTGTAGAACCCCGAGACGTAAGCCTTTCTGTAACCCTTGTGGTAGTCTTCTCAACATCAAAAGCATATTTAGTTGTTCGTAGTGCAAGTGATCGTTGTCGTTGCCGCCTTGCGGGCCATCACGGCAAGACAAAGGTGCAGTCGTCGTCGATGACGACCGCGACGACGGCGACGACGGCTACTACTGCTCACTACTCTTGCTGCTGTGCTGTCCTTGCTACAGAATGGGATTTCGATTATGGCGATATGGTCTATCTTTGCGTTGGTCGTCATCATCACGATTAACTGTAACTTTGCTAGGGAAATACTGGGCTTTAAGCTAGCAATGACCATTTCCATTTTCTAACCATGCACCCCCCCCTAGCACCCCAAACCATAACAACCTATACCTCAACCTTCAACCCATCCAAGACCCATAGGTAGAACCCTAGGAATAAC